CAATTTATAAACCAACAAAATACGCGTTGTATCACAATACATTGGTTCGTTGCATTACTGTGGTAGTCGGTAGCAATAACTCTTTGTTTATTTTTCATTTTATATCTGAAAGTAAATTACGTCTGAGAACTATCATATAGTTTAATTCAGTCTAATTTTACAATTTTATTATGATTTCAAGTCTTAGAAGTTTATACTATTCATAATAAAGAAGTTATAGCAGTTAAATGTAAAATTAGAATAAGAAAGTGTTTGGTAAATATGAAAAGATAATATATTGTATATTAATTAATTGATTAAAATTTAAATTGTAGAAATTTTAGCTAGCATTGTAAATAATGCTAGTGATATAAGAACATTTTATAAGAAAATCGCATGTGTTAAGTATACACTTTTGTTTTATGTTCATAGACTACTTTATAATTATATATTGCCTTTATAGAAACATAAGAGATTTATGTGATAATAGATGACTTAATAATCATATATGCTTAGATAATATTACTGCAAATGAATCATTAAATGAGTTAACTGGAAAATATCGATAATGTTAAGGAATTAATTTTAGGAAGTTAACTAATCTGGAATTAACATTTATACAATTTACATGCTTCACAATGAATTTTATTGGCGATATGGAAAATTTTCCACCTCTAAATAATGTTGAAAATACGTATATGCGAAGGTTTTTCATTCAAATTCCTACTTAATTAGATTAATTCTCTTCGTAATTACCGACTTTATATTTATCATACTGATTATTGGATACTGTTTTAGAATCATCCGCTGGCCTGTTGATCTGAATCTTGTTAAACCTTGACAATGATATTCTCTTTTAAGTTAAAATATTCCATTATACAGGTTCTATCTCCAAAAGCATGCTGAATTGGAACTTGAAATGCAAACTTTACAAGAGTTGCAACATATGGAATATATCAGTACAATACAGATGCTTGAAGAGCAATTTAAGACTGAATTGGAAGCCGAAGAAATTGCAGACCAGGTATTATGCTTATTTTGTTGAAAATTTTTGTCTTTGATTTGGGATTCATTTTTCCGACAACTATTTATAACATAATAACTAAAACCATTAATAATTGTTTCGGTATGAAAAACAGCTCATTTACTACAAATGATCATTTTGTCCCAATTCGTTCTTTCTTTTTTTCTTTCTTTTTTATATATGCATTACTTTACAGCGTTTTGAAATACATTAATTTTGCAATCGAGTCTTGAACGTTAGAGTTTGTGTTGATACGCTTGGCATACAGTCATATCTCAGCAAGATCGTGGATTGAGATTGTGGATTGCAACTATACATTTTAGCAGTTTCCTTATTTGAACTGCTTGATATACCTTTTGTATCCTTTATTTAGTAAAAGTGATGGTTTAGCAGAAGTAGCGTCTTGCACTTTTGATTATGAATGGACTTCGCAATTTTTCTTTTTAGAGAAAATAATGCCTACAGTTTAGCTTAACATTATGCAAAGCAAACTAGACTAACTCATTATTATTATTCAATTCGTTAAAGGAAGAAGTAATCCTTAGTTGACATATATACATTTTTAATATTGTGTATGTTTCTAGCTGGAGAAGGAACGTATTGAAGAACAGTATGAACGAGAAAGAGAAGCAGCAGAAAAGGAACTCGAGGAACGGTTAACAGAACTTATGGAGGCTATGATTCAGGAATGTGAAGAACAAAAGAAAAAAATTGATCATGAATTTCATAATTCTGATATTTCTAGTACACCTGCAAACGATTTTCCCAGTAAAAAAAGTCTTCGGAGGTGCAGCTTTTGTTTTTTATCAGCAAAATAGGAAGAATTCCTGCAGTGATTAAATAAGAAGAAAAATAGAAAGAAGCGTTGTAAGCATTTTCTACTCTTTCATATGTTATGTATTATCGGAATAGGCGGAATTGATTTTCTTTACAATATAACTGATTGGTTTATTCTGGGAAGTGTTCCATTAAATTTAAATTAAATTTAACTTTTCATTCCAAATTTTTAGGCGTCCGAATGAGCCAACACCGTACAGTGAAAAGCATATGCATACTAAAACGCGTCCGAACATTGCAGATGCTCTTACCGATCAAGAGATTCAAGAAGATCTGCTACTGTTAGAAGAAGCTGAATTGAAAAATGCATAGTACATTCTTAATTTTACTTACATACCGTAATTGTCTTATCGTTTCTTCAATAGTATAGCTCAACTTATTGATCTAAATAGAATATCTAATGTTGCTGGACGGTCCGGTAAATATAACAAGTTCCAGCAGTATTCAGTAGTAAAAAGCACGATAATTTGTTATCTTACAAATTTTCAAGTATCTCTTGTGATAGGCGAGATTTTTTGGAGAGAGGTATTTCGTGGGACTGAAAAATCAATGCCATGAAAACTAATCTGTTATTGACTGTTATATGCTTCTTGGAAATTCTAATAATTCTCTATATGTTGCGTCTATTCGCCATGTCTTAAAAATCATAAAATTTGAAAAAATGCATTTTTTCAGCATGGATAATCTCAAAATTTGTTTAAATTGTTTATTGCTCATTTACAGTTATTTGATCCTCTATGTGTTGCACCTATTCGATCTCAGTGAAGTGCGTCTTTTCATAAAAGCTTTTATTTTTGATATCACTTTATTTCTCATAAATCTAGAAAGTAAGAGGATTCATTTAATAGTGTAACTTCCTGATTTGGAGGTTTATTACTTATCTCCAAAATTCTTGATTTTCCGATGTAATATTTTGGTGGACATTTTCCTTAACTCAGATGCCTTCTAATTTGGAATTTTTTGGAGTGCGCAACTGTCCATCTTACAATCTCGAAATTATCTGATATTACTCAACATTACTGATTCACTTCACATTTTTCATGTTGTATAAATAAATCATTTTGAAGGTTTTGTTTTATTCCCATGTTATTGTGAATGCGTTTCTCAATTTGCTTTGTCTGGAGCTCTGATAATCTAATCATTCCCTTAAATTACAAGAGTGCTTTATATTGTAATTTTCGTCCAGTATACTGCTTACTGTAGCTTGCCCGACTTCTAGAAATCTGGACACTTTGGCCATCTATGCAATGATCTAAATGAATAGAGAAAGACTCACTTGGACTTCTCTAATTCATGTGTTTATTTTTTTTTTCTTTGGTCATTGTTTTCAAACTTTCAAAGTCAATCATAATTACTCTTGAGTGGCTATGCTTTTCAGAAACGTTTATCTTCCTCACGTGACATTAGTGTTTATCTTGTCTTCATCCATTTCAGATTAGTGTGCCTTTATTACTCTTTGTCTCACTATCACAGTTTTCAAATTTGAAAATTGTAGGCATATCGCAAAAATTTTTCCTTTATTATTGTGTTGACTGTTCCCTTATTTGAAGTAAAGAAAAAATATTGTTCCTGTGGTAAAAGTAATGAATAGCTTCACGATTATTTGCATAACCAATCCTTAACCATTATGTATTTAGTTACTTTTGAAAATTGCACAAGATATGAATTGTTATTGCATTAATTTTTATCTCGTTGAAATATAGCTTAGAGATTCTCATGTCAAGGGAGTAATGGTGGGCTTAAAAGCGTTGAATGCATCACTAAACTACGAGATACTGCACTATAACCTCAGAGAGCAGAAACCAGCTGTTCTATAGCAGGATTCAAAGATCGTGTCAAAGAAATTGTGAATGATGACCATGCGATTTAAAACTGGACTAGGATCGGTAATTAACACCTCCTTAGTTTCCTTAGCTGATATGTAATTTAGGTAAAAAAGTTCGAGCGTAAAAGACTTAATTTTTATGTTTCTATCACAAATATATGTGAGAAGTGAAGAAAAAAAACAATAAATTGAAAAGATTTTTTTGTAACTCGATATAAGATTAGCTTAGAAAAAAGATCGTACTAAATCAGTGCGTAACTATATTTAATTGAAGGAAAAAAAAAACATGTTAAATTAGCCAGAAATAAATTATTTTTGGGATAAATGATTGTTTTGCTTGCTACATTTCAAAAATATCAATTAAGATATCAGTGTTGTACAATACTATTTCTAGGTGAATCTATCTGAATTATTGGTAAACAGTTGCACTACATCACAGACAAAAATTTCTAACAATTATCAACAAAATGACATATGAGAAGTGCTCGACTGTACATAAATAATATTCGTATGTGTAAGTCATTTATTTCGTTAATAGTAATACAAATGAGAAAAAAAGTCTCACTAAACAGTACTTTCTCTCTCTCTCTCTCTTTCTCTCCCTCTCTCTCTCTCTCTCCTGTCCCTCTTAGTAGTTTCAAACTCTGAAATGGTCACACTTTACTTTTCACAGCAATGAAATGATGACATTCGGACCGTAAAATGGCATGTGGGCCGTGATGTGCTGTTGAGAACAGAGATCACTGCTCGTTTTTTCGTCTTATGGTTCGATACGTACGATATGTATTGAATTTGTAAGGTAGCTGTATTAGTTACACGTGAATGACGTGAGGACGTGTTCAGGATTAGACGTAAATTTTTATCAATGGCACTACTAATAGATGTAAGAATACATGAATGGATGATAATTCGCATGGAGAGATATGGTTGCTTGCTTGCTTAATATTGAATTTTGTTTATATCCCAGTTTCATCATTATTTTTTGTTCCGTATTTTTTTTAATTGGACAAATTAAAATAATTGCACTGGATTGTCTTTTATCCATTTTTGTAACCAATATTTAACTTGTAATATGGAATTTTTTTCTTGACTAACGTTGTTTATGTTTGTATTAATTGGTGTATTTGAAGTTTGTATTTTTTTAAGAAAATTTTTAAAGTTTTCTCGACTTTCCATCCTAGTATTAGGCGAAATGAGTGTATAGCATGTGAAAGACCATATGAAAACGAGCCTGAAAAAGCATGATTTTAAAGTTGTTATTAGTTAGGAATCATCGCAGTTGTTTTTATGTTTCGGAATGCTTTAAAAAGAAAAAAAAATTTAGAAAAGAGAAAAATGAAAGCAGCTATTGATGTCAATCAAGGAATCAATGGTCAAAAAGGTGTTACTATAAAGAACTATAAAACCAATCCACGTCTCAGTAAGATTTTTCTTGCCTACTTGTGAGCCTCTCAGTTTTGCAGGCTCGTGTTTTATTTCATTTTTGCAGCATATAAGACGGTGACTGGTGTTAATGGTCCATTGGTTATCCTGGGTGATGTGAAATTTCCTCAGTACGCCGAAATTGTACAACTGACACTCCCTGATGGAACGAAACGTTCCGGACAGGTTCTTGAAATCACTCGCAATAAAGCTGTTGTTCAGGTATATTTATTTTAGAATTGCATGGTCTTCAGAAATAAAAAACTGTTCCTTTATTATCGACTAGTTAGTATTTTCTAGGCCATGTTTGTTCTTCACATACTTAACCGCTCATATTACAAGAGCTTGTTTATATATTTTAGTAGCTTCGTTAAGGTGTTGAAATATATAAACAATGTTTGTTCAAAAAAGACGTTTTTTACTTATTTGTCCAAAAATTTGGAATTCATAAATATGTAAAAAGCCTCAGGTTGTCCGAAGACCTAATTTTTGTCCATACCTTATTGGCTGAAAATCTTTCAAAAATATGTTAGAAATAGTCAGTCTTTATCATATGATTTTCCACATTTTGTTTATAGCAATTAGTGAATCTAATTCGTCTGTAAAAAACTTTTCTACGAATTAAGTTGTAAAGTTCATACTATTCTATTTGTGTCAAGTTATTCGGTCTCAGAAAAATGGTAGAGGTTAATACTTCGGAGACTCCATATATATATATATATAGGAGAGAGCGTGGAAAGGATTCTGTATAAACGATTTATAGAATGCACCAGTAAACCAGGCTACAGACGAATCAGTATTTAGGATTTTTCAGATCACTATATTAATCATTAATTAAATAATCAAATAGAGCAATGAAATTGATTCCAGGTTTTTGAAGGAACTGCAGGGATAGATGCCAAAAATACATCATGTGAATTCACCGGCGACATTCTGCGAACACCGGTTTCCGAAGATATGCTTGGTCGTGTATTAAATGGGTCCGGCAAACCAATTGATAAGGTAAATGCCGTTTATGACACTGTTGTTGCTTCTCCCTGTCACTTATAGATGGAGCTATGAATCTTTCCTTTGCAACATCAAGATGAAAGCATTTATATGGAATTATTTCAGGGCCCACCAGTTTTGGCAGAGGATTTCCTCGATATCAATGGTCAGCCAATCAATCCAAGATGCAGGATATATCCAGAAGAGATGATTCAGACAGGAATTTCTGCAATCGATGTGATGAATTCCATTGCTCGTGGTCAGAAAATACCTATTTTTTCTGCTGCCGGTCTTCCACATAACGAAGTAGGTTATGTATGCTGTTTGGTTCATTCTTAATTTTAAAACCTAAGAAACATCGCATGTTGCTTTGATTATTAGAGCTTTTAAATAGTTTGATAGATCTTGTTTATTCCATTATTTAATAGTAGCTATATAATGTTCAATTTATCTCTTAACAATTTATAGATTGCCGCACAAATTGTACGCCAGGGTGGACTTGTTAAATTGCATGATAAACATTATGATGCAAAGGATGATAACTTTGCTATCGTTTTTGCGGCTATGGGTGTTAACATGGAAACCGCACGGTTTTTCAAGCAGGATTTCGAAGAGAATGGTTCCATGGAGAATGTTTGCCTGTTTTTGAATCTTGCTAATGATCCAACGTACTTTTTGCATTAAGCTTATTTAAGATTTTAAACTTAGTGTGGTCGTCTATTTTAAACGAATACGTAAATATAGATTTTTTTTATCGCGGTAAATATAGATTTGACATGCTATTGTATTTTGGCAAAGTGTACGGAATTGAACGATCTTTGCAGTCTTTGCAATTCGGGATAATGTTTATAACTTAACAATTACCAGATGAATGCAATTCTAAATTAAACAAAGGGCATTTCTTTGAATCGTTCTTATCAATGCATTGCATACTGTTGGATTTTTTAGCATCGAACGTATTATTACGCCACGACTTGCATTGACCGTTGCCGAATTTTTGGCTTATCAGTGTGAGAAGCACGTACTGGTTGTTCTGACTGATATGTCTTCATATGCCGAAGCGCTTCGAGAAGTGCGATTGAATCTTATATTTTCTGAATTAAATTTTCGAAATCTCACGTAATTTTTAAACAGTTGCGCTTGCATATAATGCATTTCTTCTTGCAGGTATCAGCAGCTCGTGAAGAAGTGCCTGGGCGGCGTGGTTTTCCAGGCTACATGTATACTGATTTGGCTGCTATATATGAACGTGCTGGTCGTGTAGAAGGACGCAATGGCTCGATTACTCAAATTCCTATCTTGTCAATGCCCAACGATGGTTTGTTGTGCTTTCTCTTAGAGTGGTACAATGATTCCAATTCAAGTTGGCTAATTTCTACATCAGTGAATATAACGCTACTTATTGATTTTTGTGAAAATGCAATATCTGATTAACTTGCTGCTGCAAGGCCATCTTTGAAAATTAGCTTAGGCAGTTTAACTTTTCAGACATAACACATCCAATACCTGACTTAACGGGTTATATTACCGAAGGACAAATCTATGTAGACCGTCAGTTACACAACCGTCAAATCTATCCACCGATCAATGTACTACCATCGCTGTCACGTCTGATGAAATCAGCCATAGGTGAAGGGATGACTCGTGAGGATCATTCGGATGTTTCCAATCAACTATACGCATGTTATGCAATCGGAAAAGATGTGCAAGCAATGAAAGCCGTTGTGGGTGAAGAAGCTTTGTCTTCAGATGATCTACTTTATCTCGAATTTTTGACGAAGTTCGAGAAAAATTTCATATCGCAGGGTTCGCTTATGTCTTTTCTGAAGTGCATTTAATTATGTGGTCATTTTTTAGTGGCACGAAAATGAATTAAAGTCGCAGCCTTCAAAGATTCTTATTGAAAATAATAGAACTTGATTCATGTATAATGGTGTCTGTATGTTTAGCAGGTCATGAGCAATTAATTATGCTTGGAACAACTAAAACTGAAGTAAAACTCTAATTATGAAGAAGAAAGAATGAGATTTTAACACCTGGTTAGAGGTCTAGGCATTAATCAAGATCATAAAATAAGTGATACTTATCATTCTTGATTATGAAAGTTTTTTAGGTAATTATGAAAATCGAACAGTTTTCGAATCCTTAGATATCGGATGGCAGTTACTGCGAATATTTCCACGTGAAATGTTAAAACGTATCCCTGCATCAACATTAGACAAGTATTATCCAAGAGGAGGAGGTGCAAGGGATATCAAAGAGATGAAAGGGAAGGAAGGAAAATAAACGAGCTCTTCTGCTAAGAATTAAAACATTATTTCGAAAACGCTTCCTCATAAATCAGGACTGCAAAAATTTTTCTTTTTGCATTCGAGGATTTTTTATATCAGTGTTTTTCATAGTTTCATTTCACTTCAATTCTTACTGTGGTTGTGATTCATACTACCGTGTGGGTTTGCTGTGGGTTCGCCATTCCATTTGAAAATTGCAAATCTGGGTTTCAATTGAAATTGGAAATACAATTTCACATGCAGTTCTAAACTGAACTGGAAAGTTTGCCTCAGCAGTAATTTATTTCACTTTTCCCTACAAATGTAAAAAATTTCATATGTGTGGTTGGCGATTTCTTTCTTGCCACATATCGTGAATTTTTGATTCTGTGTACTAGTATTTATAGTAAATAAGTGTTTCTACAAGTCAACTTAGAAATGTAAGTCGTGATTTTTTAGCTATTCAGTGTATTTATATTACGTTCCGTTGATTAATGCTATGATAATTAGGATATCTTTGGCTAGCAAAATTCATAGCAATAAATTGTTAAGCACGTTTGGTTGAAATGCATGTACCATGCTTCCGTGAACTGATTAACCAAGTAACCATTTTTGTTTCCAGATTACAACCTATGGTTTTTAAACAGCAAATCACCAATCTCTAGGTATCTGTCCATGACCTACCTTTTTTTCATTAATCAAAGGAACCAAATTTAGTGAGCGGGCATATGAGCTAGATTTGTGTTTTTTCTTATGTCATTCCTTAAATGAGATTTCACTATTTACTAGACATCTGAGATTCGACCATATTGATGTGCTTCTTTTTTTTCGCATATTGCTAACTTGGAGTTACGATTTATTCATAGTATACTATGTTATATTTTAGAAGATAATATTCATTTACTGTGATATGTCAGTGGATTGTAGTCAATAAAATATGTAGTTTTTAGATGGTTTGCGTTTCGTGTCTCACTATGTGAGTATTCACCTAATCCGTAGGACTTTTTTTGAAAATCAAAATTAGGACACTCACTAGAAGTGACAGAAGTATCTTCATGATAAAATGTTATTTAACAAATCTCTTTCGTAAGAGCACAGTATTTCTACAGTCTTGTGTTTAATGTTTGTGATCTCCTTAATATAGGAACTTTTATTTGTTTAGCTTTAAGTGATTTATTTTGCAAAAATGTCTGTTGAGGTAAGAATTACTATACTAATACAAATGTTTGGCCATAAATTCTTAATGACGCCTTCCTAATTAGTGATCTGGAATAATTATACAAACGAAATTAGAGATTAGTATCAAAGAAATTAAGGCTTGAACCTAACGCCGACAGAATATAAAAATAAGAAATTCGATTTGATTTAAAAACATTCTGAATTTGTCACAAGGTCATCCAAATAAATCAAAGCACACTGATGCCTTTGATTAAATCTAGTGAAGATTGATTATGTCTGCTGTAACATTGTTGCTCGGAACGTGCACTGCTGCAGATAATGACAGTTTTGAAAAGTACAAACATACTATAGCAGATTTTCAACAAATTTATTTTTAATAGATTCGCTATTTCCGTACAATGAGCGATTTTTGTAAATCTACGTCGAAAAGCGCCACATTCGCTACTTTCCAATGAATCATAAAGTCTTTCTAAATTAGAAAAACCATTTTTACTACTTCCATCTAATGAAGCAAAATTTATAACAAGAAAACAAGATTTTTAAAATACATAACGGTTTACCACATACCTTGCTATGGTTCTTCAATTTAATGATTTCTTTTCGTGTTTTATATCTAAGCATTGATTTTTAAGTTGCATGTTATTTCAAAAAAAAAAAGAAGAATCAAGATTCTCGTGTAAATATGATAAGTTTTTTTACTAAAAATAATATATCTACTTTAAATTTCTGTTTGAAATTGTAACCGATCAATAAATGTATCACCTAGTGTTCAATTATTTATAAATTCTTAGCTTGATTTTTTTTAATCTTTCAATCAATTCTAATTTCCTTTTAAAAAATTTTAATTTTAAATTCTGTCATTTTCCTATAATTTCAAAGTTTCGGAATTCACTCCCATTCTCACTTATTAACTTCCCTTCATATCACTACACTAGATTCAGTAAATCATAGATCAGATATGATGGAAATCATAAGATTACTCTGATAGCAAATCGAGATCAAATAAATCAAATCGATTGCAATAAGATCAAGCAGCTCGCAAGAACACTCGTTGTAATAGGTGATGGAGGTCTTAAAACGAAATAATGCATGTAAATATTGGTATACGGTAATCGATTGGTAAGCATAACTGCTGTTGAGGCTGATTAGGTTGGAGTAGGGATGGAGGTAGAATGTTTGAGGCAGTTACGTGGGTTTTACGTGGTACGTGATTAGTTAATGAGTATGTTAACATAATTATGTCAAGTTTATCCTCTCCTCCTCATTATCAATATTTGGTGGTTATTGCTACAATCTTCCTCACTTTACGTCTGTTGCCAAATATTTTCTTTTATCTTATCGAAATTAGTTATAATTTTTAACATGATTTCAAGAATATTATTTACATATTCCAAGTAGTATTGATTTAATGAATTTCCTCACGTGTTAGCAATATAAATCTTTTCTAGCATTAGCATTATGGAAGAAGTGAAAAAGGAACAATCAGAAGCAGTAGTGGAAGAGACGGCAGAGATAGAAACGAAGACTGAAGCGCCAGAAGGAGAGGTAGAGAAGACAGATACGGAACAAACAGCAGAGACGACAACAAGAAATAAGGAAATGGATCCTAATACATCAAACTATATTAGACTTCGCGGTCTACCATTTTCAGCTAAAGAAGATGATGTTCGAGCATTTTTGAAAGGTTATGATCATTTCAAAAATATATATTTGCTTATTCTAATTTGATTTATGAATTTAATGTGGTTATTTAATGGATTTGCCCAGAATATTTATTTTACATATTCATTTCAGGATTAAATTTTGGACATTTCTTAAGATCTTAACTTTTTAAATCATATTCTAAGACTTGCAAGCGTGCTGTATACATTTACGGCAGATTAGGATTAGAAAAAAGTCTCCGTTATGCAGTCTGATTAAGAATCTTTATTTCATATGTTTTATGTTTATGGAGTATTCAGATATTTGGTTATCATTTCTTTTCGCAAAATAGTTTGTAAGAATTGGTGTAGTTTTCTGTAGCTGTAACACAAATAACTGGTTTTTAGGTTTGGAAGTAAAATCGGTGACATTTACATTAACATCAATGGGTCGAGCAAGCGGTGAGTGTTATGTGGAGTTAGTGGACAAAGTTGCGGCGGAGGAAGCAAAGCGTTTTGATAAGCAGGAAATGAACAATCGTTACATTGAAGGTCTCTTCCTACTTTTTCAATGTTTGGTGTTAGTTTTATGTTATGGCAGTAGCATCAGGAAGAGCATGAATTACCTTTTAATGGGAGGTGATAACGAGAGTTTAAGACATTTCAAATTTCGGACTTTTTTTAGTGTAGGTTTTTGAGCGTTGAAAATATGGCTCCATTCTTTATTTTGTATGATTGATGGCGCATTCAGACGAAAAACAAATTAGAAGTGAAACTTGGATAAATAAGTTTGCTTTATAGTAAATTTTTTGCTTTGTAGTATTCAACGTAACAGAAAGTGAAGTGGTTTGGATGACGCGACATAATGTGATTCGTAAAGGTGATCAAGACACACCTTATAATTTTGTTGTTAGGCTTCGGGGCATACCATTCAGTGCAACGAATGATGATGTGAAAGAATTTTTTAGCGGTACGTCGTTTTACAATATTTCATAAGTGTTGAAGGTATTTTTGATAGTTTTTTTTGACTGTAGGTTTCAGAGTTTCCCGAGATGGGATGTGTAGAATTTGTCGGGCCATAATCGGCACACTTATACACGGGTAAATGGCCTTCTTTTTGTACTAATGGATTTGAGGAATTAGTGTCAATGTAATTTCACAAGTTCTACTTTCTGGATCAGCTAGTGCAGTTTTCAAGATTTGAATGTTTTGCTTTAATGCGAATCGATCAGTAATTTTATATTTCTGGAAGGGAGGTGACTCCTAATTGCTCATGTATTTGGTGGTGTAAGTATGGGATATAGGATTGGAAGTGGCAGATGTTGTCATCGACAAGGAGCTGGGGGGTCGCCCATCTGGGGAGGCATTCGTACGGTTCGCCAGCAAACAGCATGCCGAGATGGCCCTGGAACGGAACAGAAACAACATGGGTTCGAGGTATGGGAAAATAAACATCAGATAAAATGCTACTTAACTCTTTTTACGAAATTATGTTTTAAACAAACAAATGATTTACCGTTTGAATTACCCTGAAGACAGAAGTACTTTGGTTGCAATGATACTGTTGACAATGGAACGCTGCGTTTGAGAAGTTGTTAGCAGTTGTTGCAATTTTTTTAAGAGGAAATATCTGCCAGCACTGACGGGAAGACATTAAAGTGATTGAATATATAAGCCTTATTGCATATTATTTAGCGAAGAAAGTTGAATTACCCTGAAAAGAAGATTTAGTCATCGCCCAACGAATTTTATCCCTGTCCATATGCTACCTAGCAGTGTTCTTTCATTAACGGTATCATAGTAACGACATGTATATTGCTGCTTCAAATATATTTTGAAACTTAAAAGTTTAAATTTTGAGAGATAGCATCTCTTGTGATCTCAGGAATTACTGAGAATTGAGAAATTTTAAGATAGTTGGCTGTCTGGGAGGTTTCCCATTAATAATTTATTAATGGAGACAGACAGTAGTCTGTTTAATTTTACAGGTTGTTTCAGAGAATTTCTTTGAAACGAATCTTTATGCTCATGTATTATCAAAGTCTTTTGATATGATATTTATTTGCAGATTGATTAGTAGCAATAAGTAGCAGTAAACTAACGATTGAAAAGTAAAATGATTGAATATGTCTCGAGAATTTTATCTAGTTTTTGTTTGATTTCTCTAGATATGTGGAAGTTTTTCGAAGTTCTGGTGATGAATTGGAGAAATCAAGGGAAGGTCATGTTGCACCACCAACGTCTTTGAGAAGTCTTGCTGTTGAACGCAGTTTTCCAACACCGCGTACCGAACCTATACCTTTACGCTTTGCTGCAGCGAAGCTTGGTGGTGTACGTCCATATCGGTAAGAAAATTTTATAGAATAAATTCTAGAAAACGGAAGATGAAAATCTTATCAGTAAGGAAAAGCAAGAAGTATTTTGTATGTTACATTTCCATCCTGTGTTAATTTCTGGAATTTGCAATGGCTTGTATCGATATTTTGCGCATGAATTTTCAGTAAAATGAGTTTTCAGTTTTCATTTTCAATTCATGAATTCATTACAGAAGGGAGGAGTATGGTGGTCCCTTGAGAAATGTTAGTATGGCTCGCCCTCGTGCTGGTCCTTACGACGCACCATATAGTCGTTACGCGCGTTTTCAGGATTACGGTTATGAAGATGATTTTGATTGCGATGATCCAGCTAAGATTTACATGAGGGGTCAGTTTATTAACAATACAACTTTCAATAAATTCACGTCCTTTTTTTAAGTCATACTTCTCTTTAGATTAACAATAATTCAATTGTATTCAATCTGATTGCTTGTTTAAGGTCTTCCATATAGTGCAAATGCGCTTGATATCGAAGATTTCTTCAAACCATTGAATTGTGTCGAAATTCAGCTGGGTTTCAATGAAGATCGTCGACCGTCTGGTGATGCATGTGTGATTTTTGGGACGGTAGGTGAAGCGCGGGATGCAATGTCCAGAAACAAACAGTGTATTGGTAATCGGTAAGAACATTATGAATTATGGATTTTTGTGCAGGTGCATGCGTGCATCTGTCTGGGTAAATTGTTAGGTATTAAAGGTGTAAAGTATTGATCAGATTTGCTTGGTAAATTATCTCAGATGTTTATTACTTTGGACAGTTGTTCTCTCCTGCAAAAGCACTGTAATGAGAATAGATCATGTTGATATAAAATGTAAAAAATTTTTCATCAAATTAATGTACTGGGTATTATTCCGAGATTCCGATTTTTACTTTTTTTATTGTAACCTGCTCAACTGTCTTGTTTGTATTTTCCATTGATGAATAGATTGTGTTTTTATGAATTGTAGAAGTTGAAATCTAAATAAACAGTTTCATTCTTCTACAGATATATTGAACTATTTACTGCCGCTGATGTGCCAATTACGCAAAAATATGTCATTTATCGAAGAATTGGTGGTACAGGTGACTATCCAGCAGCAGTGGGTGGAGGAGGTTCTCGTGGTCCAACAGCATTAAATCGTGTTAATTGTGGTGGATATGATGAATGGGCTGATAATGATGGAAATGGACGCTATTCAAGTGTTCAGAACAAGCCAGTTTCACTGAATCGTGTTGGATATACGATAAGTGATCCTGCTGATATTGGTGGGACTGAGAGTTGGTCGGATGCTGATTCGGGTAGAAGCTGTAAGTTATTTAAAAATTTCAAATCCTATGTTTTAATGACTAAATCAATATTAGTAAATTTTTACTGGACTCGAAAATTTCATCACTAGCTTTATTTTAATATTGTAGGATGACAATTCAAATAAAGTTGCTAATCTGTTTTCCTCTGTTTTAGCAGAAAGTATTTGACTTCATTATTTTTGCACAGAACATTTGCTTTTATTGGTCAGTATCCGGCTAAGAAAGTTCTTTATATGATATTTTATTCCTGTTTCAGATACGACAGGATATAACAATGCTTCGGCAGGATACAATGCGAGCTATGCTACGGGAGGGCAGCAGGTTTGTTTGTTTGATTCTAGTCTGCATTATCGGTTCAGTACTTTTATTAATTATAGCAAATCTGCCATCATACTTCTTATTCTTTAAATTTTTTTTTTTTTCAAAATACTAACAAATTTTTAATATTTTTATGTTCGTTTGCAAACTGAGCATGTTTCAGAAGATTACTAGCGTTATAGCGATTATTATTAAACATTTGAAAACTACTGACTTTTGCATTTTCAGTACTACAACGATGAATATGAAGGAAAACAATCTTCATATGGTTATCAGTGGGGCAGTGCTGGTGGTTCGGTGAAAACCAGCTGGTAAAAGCTTCAGGAATAGTTTGTTCATTCTCAGAATCGCAGCGCCAGTGTTGAAATATCTCGTCAGTAAAGCTTTTTCCGGTAAAACTAATATACCAAGTTTGCTGACCATTTGGTTGATTTGATTTTTATTTACCTGTTTAAATAATTTTTTTTATACTTTCTTTCGCGAAAGAAACGAAAAATGGTTGTAAACTCTTCTTTGTTCTTTTTCATCTTCATCAGAACAGTTTTATTTCTTTTGTGTTTAATTATTAACTTAATGAAATTCAAGTTCCAATTAATAACAACTTTTCCTTTTTCATGTATGGACAGTGTTGTTCTCATAATATATTTTTCGCATCTTCATTCATTACTTACTTTCTTTTGTGTTTCAAGATTTCTATCAATTGCTAAGCTGAAATAGCGCTATTGCGTAATTTTCAAATACATTTCCAGAATCTTTTTTTAAAGATTTAGAATTAAGTTTTCAAATATCCGTTGGAATTTGCTGAATAGCGCAATACAATGTCCGATGGCGTTTTTTGATCTCGTTGTTACTCCTTCGGAATAAATGTTTCTGCACTTTTTATTAGTTCTCTTAAAACACTGTTTGATAAGTTTTTGGTAGCATCAGGTATTTTTGTTAGTAGCGAAATTTTAATTTTTCATGGAGTCAAGTATATTGACTCTATTTCGTGCAGTTCATATCGATTGTATTTAATCATAGTTGTAAGTTTGTCAGAAATAAAATGTTTTTTGGTGTATGTCATCGCATAACATTGCTTTTTTATTATATATTGCAGACTATAAAGGGGCTATTACTGCACTGCTCAACATTTAACTTGCAATCATTGCAATTGGAATGATGGACAAATTTTTGGTTGAACATGTTTTTAAAGTTATAAAGTTAGCAAACGTACTGACTTCATTTCACTATTTGCTTTTGTAACATTTCTTTTGTTTTTTGCTGCCAATTTGATGGATTGTAATTAGTTACAGTTCTAAGGCTGTTGATAGTTTGCTACCAATATTCCATAATTAGATGTTGGGTGGTACTGTGTTGTCTTTTGTGCTCTTCAGATTTGACATTTGAGATTTGAAGAAATTTGAATACTACTGAGGACAGGTAGCTTTTTAATTTCAATTATTTCATAATATTTTTAAGAGTAAGACTGTTTTGATCATCATTTGAAACAATTATACTGGAATGCTAATTGAAGTTACTTACGGAAGCATCGTTTAAGTAAACAGGAGGGAAAGTAATGGTGACGTTTCTGATTGTAATAATCTGTAAATTAGGATAAAAAGTAAATATGATGGACTATTTTGGGAAGCTTATTTTTAACTATTTTGTTTAATAGGTAATTCTTGCACTAAACAAACTGTTATAAAGATAATTTACCCTAAATGGTCATTAATTCTAATTATTATTATTATTATGCTCTTTACAAAATATCAAAGTATTTACTTCGATAAGTAGTTAATATTACATTAAAGTATTATTTGGTAAGGTTTAGGGTAAGGCAATTTTCGAAATGCTAAACTAAATGTTAAAGTAAGTACTGAATTTACTAAACTAAACTAAATTGAACTTCTTGAACTCTATCAATTCTTTCATTCAATACAATGTTTTGGAAAAGAAATGAAAACAATCAAATGATTAATTGTTATTTGATTTGCAGAAAGGATGAAATATGCAAATTTCATCCTTTTTTAGATGATATATTTTTAGATGACAAAATGATTAGTCACATTAGTTAAGTACAATTTTTGTATTTCTATATGGATGGAAATGGTCTTTCTTCTGTTGATGCAATATTTTATGATAACATTTATTGAAGCTATTTTTTATACAAAAGGTACCATCCATCAATAATCACATAAAGTTTTCACAAAAATTTTATTCGTTATTTTTTATTAAGAAAAATAAATACTTTTATTGAAATATTACAACAATCATTCCCACAGGGCAAATTTCAAGTTTACAATGTACGCAACATTCATTTTGCTCTGAACGTGATCGTGCTCGTTGGTTAGAAAGACGTCGATTGTATCAAATTTTATTTACGCTCAGAAATGAACCATTCACGCAAATGTATTTCACTTTTGCAACTTTTTTTTTTCAAAAACATACTTTAACATATTTTAGTTATATTTTAACTGTAATTTACGCATTGGTTTTTTATGTTCAAATGTGATAAGAACATATATAATAATTGATCACAAAAATCGAGAATAATCATTATCTTGATTATCATATATTATTATTATGTAATTCTAACTTAGATTTATCATAAGAAAATATATTGACAATTAAACAATTACTAATTTAAAAGTTCCGGATTAATTTTATTTAGTTACTGTACAATATTATATTATATAATATTATATATCATTATTTCTAGATATGGTTTTTCCTTCTTCTTCTTTCTTCATATTTTTGTTTCTCTCTTCTTTTTTTGAGTTCAAAAATTGATAAAACCAATTTTAAGTTTAATATTTCAATTTTTACAAATTATCTGCTAATAAATTGTTATTAAAATTTTTTGTCTGTATTATTTATTGTCATTTATTTGTATTAAAATTTAGTTAATTATTTATTTTACTATTTCTATAACAAATGATTAATTTAATATTTTAATAAAAATTTAGTCAAATGCCTATGCCAGCATTATCAATTAATCGTTGGCATAATTACTTATGCTATGAATATCAAAGCGCAGCATTTTTAATGGAAAATGATAGTGAACGTTGGCAAATAGCATGCTTATGGAATGGTAACGATATTAATGGGACATGTGCGCCAGCACCGCCCAGTAATAAGCCAATTAATTATATTGAACCAGAAAAATGGCGACAAATGTTATATGTTAGTAATTATTATTCATTTTTAAGATGAAAAAAAAAAGAATGCATTAATTAAATAAATAAAAATAATTTGTTAGTTAATATTTTTGCAACTATTAAAATCAAAAAAGAAAATATTTTTTTTTTTTTTTTAGAAATTTCGAAAAAGTATTGGTTGTACAACAAAAGCTATTTGGGAGGCAGAAAAGGTAATTTTTTTTTTTTTGAATCATTGAATGATATATATTTATATTTTCTTTTAATTTTTTTTTTTATATTTATATTTTTATTTACATTTTTATAAGCAAAATTTTTTATTTATATTTTTAATTTCTTATATAACTTTTCTTTTTTATAAAAAATAATATAACTGCATTATAAACATATTCTCTTCTCTATAAATTTAAATTTTGGAAGTTAACAGTAATACAATGTAGCAATTATTATTTGAATTATTATGTAAACAATTGTTATAATAATTTGATAATTGTTTTTCTCTTCTTTTTTTTTCGTTTTTTGCTAATATGAAAATAAAATAAATTAAAATTATATGAAAGGCACAAGAATTATATGTTTGTACGGAACGTTGTTTACATGGCGGAATTGGTTATATGCCAGTATTGTTTATTGCTATGACACTTATGATATCCATCACTTTGTTATGTTTTCGAGGATAATTTATTATGAAAAAATTCACCAACATTATAAAGATTATTGTAATGAGAAGAAAGAGAGAGAGAGAGAGAGAGAGAGAGAGGGAAGAAAGAAAAAGATGAAGAACATATTTTAGAGTAATTTGTTAAATTTTACAATATTTTTGGTCAAAATTTTGTATTTTCTTTTCTTTCCTGTTTTTTTTTTCTTTTCGGAAAATTTTACTATGTTCCATTTTTATATTTCAAATTTTTATTTATTATGCGCATTTATACATTTTACAAAATATGTTAATAGAATATTAATTACTTATTGTTTATTTATCATTTCTGCAATTTAATTTGTTTACAATTCATTCAAATCTATCGCACTATTTTCCTTTTACCTTTAATTGTATTATTATTATTATTTTTTTCTTCATTTAAAAAATCGAAAAAAAAATCGAAATTGCAAAAAGACGAAAAAATAATGAGAAGAAAGTTGAAAAAAAAAACAAAAAACTAAACAATAAAATGAAATAATAGGAAATTTAGCACCGAACATATCATCAATCTTTTAAAAAATTATATCTTATTAATGAAAAAAATTACATTTTTTTTGTTTTTTTTTTTTTTTTTGTTATGATGGTAAAAATTAATGTGAAATATTTTTCAAACAATCAAATCAAAAATTGTTTACATGAAAGTTCACATTTACATAAACATATATATATAATCATTAATTGCATATTCAATATTTAATTCTAATGCTTTACAATGAAAACGACGACCTTATAGTGGTCATTTTGTAATTTAATTAAAATGTGGACGGGTGAATATTCTCTTTTAACAGTTTCTCTATTATATACAATATTTTCTCGAGGTAGAATAATGAAATTATAATTTCGTATTAAAATTAGTAATATCTTAATGGATTTGACCACTTTTTTTCTTTTGTGTTCATTTAGTGAATTTAATTAATAACTAATGAGGGGTATAAAGTTTTTATATATTATTTGTTTTATTAGAATTCATCATTTATTAAACATAAATTATCTCTTATAAAAAAAAACTTTAAGCACTATATTTAAGCAATACATTTAATTAACTCATCCATTTAATGACTAATTAATCATGCATTTATTGTAAACAATGAAGAGAAAGATACACAACAGATTGAATTAAAATTTTAAAAAAGCAATTTGGGATTAATAATTTAATTATAAATCACAATTGCAATTTATTAATATGAATACATTCCAAACGATTAAAATATTTTATGCGCAAATACAGAAAACACAGCAAATATTAGCATCTTTATAATTGGTAATAATTATGATTATAATTATGGTTACAACTGTGCAATATACTCCAGGACAAACAAATCATGATCACAATCATGATTATACAAATTTGTTATCATGTAATGAACATTATCGTTTATAATTGATTATGATTGATTACAGTTATGATAATAAATATGTCCATAATATTTTAATACTTCAAATCACAATATTTCAAAATTACAATGATTATGACTATAAATATGTATAACATTTCAGGAGATACAAATCGTGATATTTCATGCACAGATTCATTAATATGTAGTGAACATCATCGTTTATTGTGGTTTCGATTGCGTAAACATGTAAATAATATTCTACAATTTATGCATCATAAACGATATAAACATAAAGTGATATCAATGAAAGGTGATGAATCGTATATATATTCGTTAACAATGCGTTATATATTATGCAAAGAAGTGCAAAGTGTAGGTTTTATGAGTGATGGACAGAGTGACCGATGGCCTATACGATGTTTATGGAATGGAAATGCTATTAATGGTACATGTGCACCCGGACCACCGAGCAATCAACCAGTTTTTTATATTAAATCCAATGAATGGCGACAAAAAGTGAAGGTACGTTTTAGTTAGCATTTAATTAAGCATTCCTCTCCTCGTTCATAATGACCCTATTTACGGTAATTTCTCTTTTGTTTTTTTCAGAAGAATATTAATAACTTTTGTGCGTTGTTTAAAATAAAGTTTTTTTTTTTGAAAGAAAGTTTGGTTTATCTAGTAAATTTAGTTAATAATTATTATTCATGAGGCATAAAATGCAGTACATTCATAATATTATTATTTAGGAATTTCGCATTAAAATTGGTTGTAATAGTTCGGATATAGAAAATGCAAATAAAGTATGTATATCTTTTTTTTTCCAATTGTGGAGGTAAAGCCAAAAGTAGGCTTTTGTGTTTCCATGAAAAATAAAAAAAAAATAAAAGTGATGATATGGTTATGATTTTCGGAAGATCAAATCTATCAAAATATTGGTGCTTCGGGTGAGGAATTAATGATTAGTCGTTTAACTTATGAATGTTTAAAATACAGTTGGATGAATTGTATGTATGCAAGGAACGTTGTATTCAAGCTGGAATTGGTTATATTTCATCGATATTCATTATGACAACATTGTTTATCTCTTTCACACTTTTGCTGATGAAGTGAACAAGATGAAACTATGAAAAAGTGAAAAACGAAAATTCACACACAATGTTACAAAAACAACATAATAAGTGATTAACAATTTCAAATTAAATAAAAGTTTTCCAACAAATTCAGCACCGAATATAAATACAAGTTCACAAAATAGAAATGGATCCTTGAATTCTTAAAATTTAACGATTTAGAATTTCTAAATTTTTGAAAAAAATATATAAAATCTAAATTTTTGCAAAAAATTTGCCAAAAAAACGTAAATTTATATCAAAACTACATCGAAGGCACTTTGACGTTGGCGTAATGCAATCAAACTCACAATTCAATACCGGAAATTAAACTCACAATTTCATTGAAAAATCTCAAATTAGAAATCCACTGTTCGTCCATTCATCCATTTCAAATTTTAATGAAGAAATAAAAAACAAACAGTAATGTATATATCTGCGTATAAAAAAATATTATGAGTTCATACCTCGTAAATCTAAAGTGTGTTCAAGCAATATATCATATATTAAATACAACTCAAGAATTCACTTTTCCGTTTTGGATAGCGACAAATTTTGAAATCAAAGTATTGGATAAATTTCGACGATAATCGTCCATTTCTTCAACTTTCTGAAAAACAATATTGTTCTGAAACTAAATCAGTTCATGTGCATAAGAGCTAAGATGTTTTTCTTTTTTTTAATTTCTGCAATTTTCTTTTGGTTTTTTTGGATATTTTGAAATCTCTCACACTTACAGAATGGCTATTCAATTCCTGCTTTTAGAGCTCGCTTCAGTTATTATTGGATGAATGAAATAAACAAAGATATAGAATAGAAAAGCAGCGACAGACAAATCTAATCTTTTTCTTCTTAAAAAAAAAAGATAAATATTTCTTTGGAAAAAAGGACCTATTAAATCTCAAACTAACATTTCCAAGCAACTCCAATCTCCTTTCCATACTAGCAACAATGGCTTCTTCTCTAATTGCATTATCATAATAAATGTTTCGTTCTTTCAAAAGAGCATCCACAATATGATACATCCAAGTTGTATCCAACTTCAGTGTTAGTGTACAGAATTCAAACTAAAAACAAACCCATAAGGAAACGCTTTGAATCAAAATTATTCCTCTCTTCAACAATCTTATTTATGTTATTCGACTAAGAGAAGCACTAACTTTCATAATTATATATTCATTAATGTAGTTGAAAAAAGCCAGATTGTATTTTAAAATGTTTAGAGGTATAATAAAATCTTGACGAAAGAATTATTAACAACAGTGAATCTTACAAGTATAACAAATTAGTTTTTGAATTAAACACTCACCGTAAGACCATCTTCATCCGGTCGAATCCATTTCATCTGTAACAAATAAACTGCAATCATACAAATGAGGGAAATTTCCATTACATCTAAAACTATAATTTATAGCTAAAATTAAAAAGCGAATGAACGAGTAAGATTTCATCATCCAGTTTTTCCATTTTGAAAACTTTTACTTTCAAATGAATTACTAGAAGATATTCAGTGGTTATTTCGCGACAGAATGTCCTTACTTCACAGTATATCAGTTCATTTTTTTTTTAGAAGATCTAATATTAAAAAACCTTTTAAAGGAAATGATTTGTTGATAATCTGCTCTATCAGTTCGAAATAACATGAGCAAAGATTATGCCGAATATATTCATTATTTTAGGTAAGCGTTTTAGGTATATTGCTTACTTTCAATAATCTGATAATGAATCATGATTTAAAAGATGAAATAAAATGATTAAACAGTACAAGATGGCGTTATACCTGGACATATTCGGAACGTTCCATATTCAATGAATTCTTCTCATTAGCAAGTTCAGCAATGAATTCTTCATCTGTACTGAATTCACCTTCTTTGCGTAATGCTTCCCAACTTTCCTGATCATCTGTAAAATGACGTATACTTCACACCATATCTGATTATTTGACATATATCAAATAAAGTATTAAGACTAAAATTTTATTGCCAAATAATTATTTTATAATTGTAACAGTGTCATATCCCACTTTTTTCTTGTACAATTAATTAGGGTATGATTTTGATTTCTTTTAATTCTGTATCACAACTTTTTGTCACGTATTTAGACAAACGAAATTATAAGAATTGTCACAATTAATCAATATATATATATAAAAAAAAAAAAGAAAAGAAAAAAACCTACAAGTTGCTGTATATGATGAGCTAAGAATATCACTGATAATAACAACAATGACATAATCATCACTATCACAACTTTTACCAATGAATAAAATAGCTGATAATTGTTGCTCATTGTTTAATTCACAACAACGACGTACTTTTAATTCCAACATTTGGGTATATGCTCTAAAACACATTTAAATAATGATTCAAAACTTTCATTTTCTCGAATGCGAATAAAGTTATTTTGAAGTTACTGAATAAGAATTATGTCGCTGCAAAATTTCAACGAATTACAAAATATCAGATCAAGAATACCGAGAAAAATTGTGCTATCCAAAAATTACAAGACGTAAAGTTATATCAAAGTTTTCAGATGAACATTACGCTATCCAAGAAGATTATAAAGCATAAAGTACGTCACAACATAATAGTAAAACTAGAAAATAAACAGCTTCACAGTTTATTATCACTTAATACGCTTAAATTCACGCAGTAGTATTCTTCTCTCCGTGCGGCCGTGCTGTTAAATCCTAACGACGTGAACGTTGTAATACGTATTAAATTGAGATGATTTGTTATTGTTTTACTCGAATATTTATCATTTATTTCTGTTACTACTATAATATCTATCATTTTTAAAATACGTGAAGAATACGTCATATAACATATTACATGTAATTTTTTTTATATTTTAATGTATGACTTATATAAATAAATTGCTATGAAAAATTCTTAAAGAATCAAAAAATTACAAATTTATGTTTGTTTAAAATATTAAAATTTTCTTCTAATGTAACGAAGAAATTTGTTTTTTTTTTTTTTTGCATACAAAAAGAAAAAAGATATAAAAGAGTTAAAAGGAAAAGAATGATGAATTGTTTGTTTATAATTTACTGCTATTTGGAGAGCAGGCGATATTATTGTAATATTTTATTTCAAGCAAAGTTCGTATTACAATCATATACATATATCATTATCATTGTTATCAACGTCATTCTTATCATTTTTATTATTACTACAATTATCATAAGTGTTATTCATTGATTGCTATCATAAGTAAAAATATACGAAATATTTTATTTGGATGAAGCAGTCACAGGTGATGAAGCAATCCTATCTGTTTATTTCTTCTCTCATTGATCATTTTATCAGAATTTTCAAATTAATTTATTAAATAATCTTCTACTTAATAATTGCTATAGCCATATTATTTTGAAAAAATTTTATAAATAAAGAATTTCATATCATTTACAAATGCATATGATAATATTTCGCAAAATTATAATTATATCTTCGTTTTATAATATTTTCCATTAATTTAAATTTCAATTTAAAACATTTAATTCAGTTAATAATTATCTTAACTCAAGAACTTCTTCAAAAAAAAAAAGAAAAAAGGCGAGAATAAATAAATAAACAAATAAGCAAATAGATAAACAAATATGAGTGTAAGCATATAACTTCAAATTTAAAAATTATATAGCAAATAGCAACAAACTAATTATATTGTATGAAATGTAAAATAATAAAAGAACTGTGATTGTATAATATAATAGTTCAGCAAAAAAATTCCATAATTTATAGTATGTTTGTGTGAAAATATAGAAAAATATATTTATTTATTATTAGATAAGATATAAACCAGAATAAAACAAGAAAAATGACATATTTAAGACATCAGAAATGAGTCACAGCCAATTACGATCAAAACGACATCGAACATCAATTCGAGCTTCATCAGGCAGTCGAAATTCTTCAAAAGACTCAGAAAAAGATGAAGATTCAGATGAAGAATTAGTCGCTCCAGCTACACCAAAAACTAACGATTCAGTGAGTTCAGATGATGATGATAATGACGACGATGATGATGACGATGATCATGATAATAATAATGATGATGATGATGATGATGATGATCATAAAAAGGGTGAAATACCTGATGTTATTTTCAATCATCCTTTGGTAAACGATTTATTAGATCGATTTATGCGTGCAAAATTGCAAAATGATAATACTATCAACAATATCAATAATGAGAAAAACACTGGGAAAAAGTTAGAATTTTTATTATCAATTAATTAAAATCTGAAATCAAAAATTTGATCAATTTTAGATAATTAGATTTAAAAAGTGTGAAAAAAAAAATAAATTCATCGTAAATGCTAATAAAAAAAATAAAATTAATGTTCTTTCCGTAAAAATTGAATAATTTTTGAAATTTTAATTGTTCAAATATTGTAGTGCAGGAATTGTAATTTCTTTGAAAGTTACTGATAATTAAGAAAAAATTTTTATTATTAGCTTATGATTATTATTGCTAATTATTTGACATATTTATTTATTCTGAATGATAATTGTTAATGTTAATTTGTTAATTTGTTCCAATTATTAAATTAATTATTAATCAATAACTGCAGAGGAACATTAAAACCAGCACCAATTCATGCTGTGGATTTGAAATTTGATGAACTTCGACAATTATGTGATCTTGCAATGAATTCATTCGCAAAACAGAAATCATTACTACGTATTGGAATGTAATTATAGCAATTACTTTCTTTTTTTTTTTTTTTACTTTTACTTTTCGTTTGTTGTCTTTTGTTTTTAGTTTGATTAGATTATTATTATAATTGCTATAATTGTTTTATTGTTTTTGTAATTTATGTTTTTATTGTGTAATAAATGATAATATATACTATAAACAATAAGAAAAAGTTTTTTTGCTAATTTCTAGTGAAATGCTTCCAATAACAATATGTGCTGATACTCATGGACAATTCCGCGATGTTCGATGCATTTTGAGCACATGTGGTAATCCATCATCACGAACGTATCTTTTCCT